TTTTCAGTCATTGCTGCCTCAGCACCACTCAACTTGCAGTGTCTTTTCCTGCTTTTGTTTCCTTTCTAATTGAGGTGTGAGAAAGCCCTAGGACTTCCAGCCGAAGTTGCAGATGCAGACACACAACTGTGATTTTTCAGCAATGACTTCTGCACTGGGAACCCAGAGCGACTGGGGAGGGAACAAAGGGGGACACTGAGGGCGGCCCAGGGGCCCCCAGAACCACTTGGACAGGGACCAAGGGGACATGGGGCAAAGAACCACCAGGGAGGGGACAATGGGGAGACGCTGGGTGCACCAAAACCACCAAGGGACAGCAGGAGAACACAGGAGTAATGCGGGGCCCCAAAAGAGTGAGATTATGGGGGCATCCCATTGGGGTTAGGGGCTCCTAGAGGTCCTGACTTTGGGGGGGGGGTGATGGTCTTGGTGGTGGGAGGGTTAGGAGGTCGCTCATTGGGGCTGGGGACTCCGGGGACTCCAGGGTCTCCTATACGATTTGTTGGAGGGGGTCTTACTGGTCTTGGGAGGACTGGGGAGTCCCATTGTGGCTGGGGGTCCCGTTGGGTTGTGGGGCTCTCTGGGCTCCTGTTTTAATGGGGAGAGTCCTAGAAAGGGCTGGGAGGGTGTGTGCATTCCCAGGGGTCCTGTCTTTCTTCCAGGGGCTTTATTATATTTGGGAAGAAATGGGGAGTCCCGTTGAGGCTGGAGTTCCCATTGGCACTGAGGGATTTTGGAGGGGTTGAGAGGTCCTGGGGCAACGTGAGGGGACTCCATAGGGGTTGGATCCCTGGGTTTGCAGTCATCCCCCAGAGACCTGCAGCCTGGAGCTCCGGCTCCACCCCTTCCATCTTCCCCCCCAGCAGCCCCTCGAGACACCTCAGTGTCCCCTCAGTGACTCCAGGAGCCCCTGCTCTGTGGCAGGATGCAACAGGACAGCTCCAGAACCACACTGCGTGGTTCTGTGGCCGGGGGGCTGGGGGTGAACCCTGTCACCTCCCTGCCGGGTCTGGGGGTCTCCAATCTCCTGCCATTTCAGGAGGGGACATAGTGGCATCAAGGGGACACGTGGTGATGCGCGCAGGAGGTGACGGGTACATGGTCACGATGGCCTTGGTGATACCAGGACCCCCACGGGGAGCCAAGAATCCCCTTGTGGGGTCATGGTGGCTTTGGGCATTCCAGAACCAACAACGAGGACGCCAGGAGCTCTGCCACAGGGACACCGGGACCCCTTGGTGTGCTTGAGGTGGCTTTGGGGATACCAGAAACCATCACGGGGCCATCACTGGGAAGCAACATGGAAAGCACACAGCGGAAGTGACATAGAGAGACACAGAGGGGGGCGTGGAAGGTACACACGATCTCTGATGATCAGTGGAGCCCTCTGACAGCCAACAAAGCCTTCAGATGACCACTGACAATCTCTGATGGCAAACTGAGCCCCCGATGATTGGCGGGCTGCTGCTTCAAGTGCAGAAAAGGGAAGTGAGTGGTGAGAAAGAATATTTTGACATCATTTGGTTGAAAGCACCATGGTATGAAGATTTCTTCGGATTTCATCAAGCACGGAATTTGGAGAGAAGTGTGACTGCATGACGCTTCAGTGTGCTGCCCGGTGCCTGGGACCGGCTGCCTGACTCTAAGTCCTCCTCCAAGAGGCTCGGCTGCTCCACAGCGATGCCGACCCGCTCCTCGTGGAGGTGCTGCTGTGCGGGCACTTGGACTCTGCTTGGGGTGGGCTGCACTGCCGTCCCCGCGTCCCCGCCCTCCTCGTCCTCTGCCCGCAGCCCCAACCGGGGCCAGGCAGGACGCGCGCAAAGATGACGCAATAACGGCGCGACCGCGGATGGAACGGACCCCGCGCGGAGCGCCCGCCCCATCCGGCGGACCGACCAATGGCAGCGCGGAGGAGGGGGGCGAGCGCGGGCTCTCCTCCAATGGCGTCCGCGGATGGGGGGTCGGCGTGGTGGTGGCGGCGCGACGGCGGAGCCGCGGGACTCCGCGCGGGGAGGGACACGCTTAGCCGCCCCGCCGCCCCGCGTCCTCGGTCCTCCCGGTGTAGGGAGGTGCGGAGAGGACGGAGCCAGGCTGCACCCGGTGGTGCCCAGCAGCGGGACCAGAGGCACTGGGCACACGCTGCAGCGCAGCAGGTTTCCCTGCATTGCTGCCACGGCCGCGCTGCTTCCCCGTTTTGGGTAATACTACTGAATATGTATGTCTGGGCTAATAAATGTATCGAGACCCCACTGTGGCGCGCAAGCTAGGAGGAGCGATCCCCCTTGCACCCAGCGTGTGGCGCAGCGCTGAAAGAAGGACGTATCTGCTCTCATAACCTGACGTGGGTTCATGAGTTTGATTCCGCAGATCATTAGGGCACCCCAGATGGGACACTCTCTGTTCGGCTGCAGGACCAGTTGAGGAGGGAGACGCCTTTGGCGCGCCCCGAGAATTCTTGGTAGGACTCCCCCTGCTCATCCTATCACTGCAGGGACAGACGGGGACCATCTGGAAGCGGACCAGGTACGTTTAAAGGGAAGGCTCCGTAAGGCGTACACAGGAGCCGGGGACTCCATCAGACGTGAGGGGCTGCCCCACGCGGAAGGGCTTTACCCTGCGGGTGGACTAGTGCAGGGAAGGTAATGACCGGGAAGGACAGGTGCCTTGTAGCACTATGTCTGATTGCAGGGATTGTGGGTTCGACCCCACCTCTGGCTAGCACTTGTAAGCTAGGCTAGCGCTTGGGCACTGGTAATCACGAGTTCATAACCATCTAGAACTCACGTCAATTCCAGGGATTGTGGGTTGGAGTCCCACCCTGAGTTAGCGAGGTACAGTGCTGACAGCTGTCAAGTGATAACCTGAATCATTGCAGCCGCGGCAGTAGGAATAATGATCTGCGCTGTTGTTGCCATCTGCAAATGTCCAGCGCTGTGTGTTTGAACAACTGCTATTGGTATATTCGGGATTTTAATTTGAGGAAGCTACTGAGTTTAACTTTTTTTTTTTTTAAATGAGCATATTTATCGGAGAATTCAGGATCTCTCCTGAAGTGCACGTATTGTGCATTTATATGATGTGATAAATCTTATGCCCTGGCTTGAGCCCTTTTTGCTCATCTGTGTACAGATGCATGATTTCAGGCCAGCCACTGTTTTCTGTAAGACTCCATTATTAAACTGTATTTGCATGCTGTGGCTGTGAAGTTCAAGGTCCTGGCAACAGATTGCATTGAGGACCAAGTCAGAAGACCTGGAAAATGGGGCCTTGTCGACTCCCTTGACTGCTTCTTTAAACAAGTCCTGGCAGATGGCTGCTCAGAGCTGTATTCTCTGCTTTATTGATGTGCAGATAAAAGGCTGGTGATGTTTCTTACTGGTGCTTAAAAACAAACACTCCAAAGCCCACGGAAAGATAACCACCTCCAACCACAAAGCTACCAGAGGAACTGTAGAGCATAACAGCTTCTATAGCTACTGCTATTGGAGCACTTTGATCTGAAGGGCCTGCAAAGGTTAGTGTGCTTTCCATGGGTGTTTGTTTTTTCGCTTTGTTTTATCCTTGAGTAGACATTTGATTCCTTTCAGTTTGAGAAAATAGAATGAAGTGCCTCCGTATTCTTGTCCCACTTGAGACTCTCGTCTGTGTAAGCCAGCATTTCTTTGTGCATGGTAAAAGGGAAGTACTTTGTCGTGCTGGTTTCTGAAAACGTGGCTTGGCAATTACTGTGCCAGCAGTCTTGTGCTGCCTGTGCCGCAGCTCTGCAGAGAGGTGGCACATATGGTGATGGCGAAGGCAAATGCCTTGATTTTCATTCTTTGCTCGTTACTGCATATGTAACAGCGTTCAAAAAAATGGCTGTCACGTCATCTGAACAGTTCTTCTGTTCCTTTCTTTTTCCAGACAATCACTCAATCTGTCAGGCCTCCCCTGCCTCATTTCCAACCTTCCACTCAGCGAGCAGCTTTCTACCTCAGTCTTGTAAGTACACCTTCAATACGTTTGGTTGCATTGACTTACATTTGGTGAAGTGAGTTGCACTGCTTCTTGTGCATGCACACAAATTACGACCAGATACCAGAATTCCGAACTGCTCGCCCCCAGTGCTGCAGGTTCTGTGCCTGACAAAGTCTCAAACTTCCTGCTTTTCTTCTTACCATACAACACAGTGGTACAATGAATGTGTAGGGTTAGTGCCTCCCAGTCTTTGTGTGTATATTGAAGAAAAAAATGGCTGGAACAGAGATGCAGTTTGGTTTATCCTTGGGGTTTATTCCAAGGCTGCGTGCTCTGACATGCTGCTATGGTTTGACTGTTGGAAGTGGTCATGACCTTTCTGCTGGCATCAGTTCCTTCCCAGGGAATAACTGCAGCTGACTGCAGTGTTGGTTTTGTTGTTCCATCCCCACAAAAGATATTCTGAGAGTCTGTGTTTTTCTGTTCCTATTATTAGTATTACTGCATTATTAGGATGATGGCTTATTGAGGTACGTAGATTGCTCTGAAAGGAATGCCTCCTATTTATTTCCACAGAAATGGCAACGGATACATAGGGCGAGTTCTCAGCTACAAAGCTGTTTTTCAACATGGTCACCACCATTAACTATCGTTTTGTTGTTTTTTTTTTTTCCCTCCGGTGTTGAGCGAGAGCCTGCGTGCTGTGCTTGTTTAAAAAGAAATTATAATAATTAAAATAAATCCGTTTGCTGTCTGGGTGGCTCGTCTTGCATTGCTGTTGCCACTGCTGAAATGCACCACCACTGCTTCGCTGCGCTCACCTCCACGTGTCGGGCTTCATAAATGTTCTGCAGGCACTGATGGATGTCAGTGGTGCGATTTTTTCAGTGTGGAGGAGTTCAGGGACACCCTGTGCTCCATGAGCACTTCCGAGCCAGGTGCTGTGCTGCCATTCTGGCCCTCTGCTGCCGTCTGTGGCACGGCTGCAAAATGTAACTGAATGCTGGCAGGAAGGTTCAGCCTCTGCTGTCATCCCACCAGCGTCCACCTGTGATGTTGTGGGCCAGCTTTATAAGACAGGAGGCATTACTTTTGGATCAGCCCTTGTGTAGTTATGAAAAAGTAAGGTTTATAAAGGCTGGCTGAGTAAATTGGTGGCTGCTAATGAGATCCACAACTACAGGAAAACAGTAGTTAGACACTGATAGCTTTCAAGGTCAGTTTAGATTACATGGCTGTGTTGGGTTATTTTTTATTTAATGTTGTGTTTCATTGCAGTAGTTTCTGAAAAATCCTCAGGTGTGGCATTCCGAATCTGCAAACTCTGGTATTCTTGAGTAACTCCATCCTGTAAAGGTAAGTGGATTAGTTCTCATACTCGATTGTAAAACTGCTGTTAAGAATTGGTATTGCAAGAAAGAAGCCTTCTTTTGTTTTATAATACGGAATTACAAAGTCAGAAGTAGATTCCTGTATGTGGAAGTATTGTAAGGATGTTTTACTCGTCTCTTCTGAGAGGAACTTTGGGGTCTTTGGTGTGCATTCATAAAGTGCTGATTAGTCTGGTGATGCAGATTGTTTTGGAGGTCTCAAACACTGCAGCCTTTTAGCAGATACACGCTTTGAGAGTAGTGATTGACGTGGTTCCAGCGTGACAGTGCAGCACACGGGTGTCCTTTTCCATCTTCGGGCCCACCTTACTGCCTTTCCAACCTGTGCACTGAATTGCAATGACATGTCAGTATCGGATCCCTCAGCACTGTGCTGAGCCTCACCTTACTCGTACTCACCCACTGGACGTTACTCAGCTTTAGCAGTCGTGTTTCTGCTACAGAAGGGCTTGCCGGATATCTGTAGTATTGATCCGGCCCGAAGGTGACAACCTTCCAACCTGCTGGTCTCTGCCCATGTTCTTTGTCACAACATCGGATGTCTGTGCTCGCTGGATGCACTGGTAAGAAATGTTTTTGAGAAGAGAACCTCGTGCTTCCCAGAGCAGTAAGACTGTGAGGATTTGGGAGGCTTTTCACAAACCTGGTTAGAGTGTGCTTTCCCAGACGGCGTGCTGTTAAAGCAGCCTTTCTCAAAAGCAGAGCGTTGTGCCTGGTGTGACTTAAATCCCACCCACAAAGGAGCATTCCCTGCAGTCTCTGATCTCAGGTGCGTGTTTCCCCCACTGCTGGAACTGCTGGACTTTCACGCCTTCACTGTGTGTGTTTGGGTCTCTTTATTAGCTCTGTTTGTTCTACTAGCTGTATGCAAATGTATCGGGAGGAAATGAAAAGATCTTTGAAAATAGCTTGGAGATATTAACCTGAGGCAAGAAGGTGAATTTTATTGCCTTAAATCAGGCTTCAGAGGATGTCCTTGAACTCAGAAGCTTGGACTTTGTTATAGCTTGATATTTACTGCTTGAACTTTCTTTAACTCTAGGACTGGAGGGAGAGCTTTTCTTCACACCTTGCTGTGTATGAAATCTACACTTGAACTGCACTTGAGACGGGCAGAAATGTAGCTGAGCAGAGCCTCCAGCAGCTCAGCCCTTTCCTTCAAACTATGAAGAAGGCTTTAATATTCGTAAGTCAGAAATCTCGTGTCAAAACTTAATTCTGGTATGGACACAGCCTCGCTGTGTAAGACGTGGCAGGTGTGGTCTTTGAGTCACCACAGGTGTGGGACATGTGAAGTAATCTGGTCGTGTTTCAATTTCTGTGTATTTTTCCCCGTTTCTCTGATCATTTCTCTGTATTGCTGCATCTGGCAGGGATTGCTGTCCTGGCCCAGAGCTCTGTTCCCTCATGGGCTGCACTCATTTTGCTGTCCCACCATTTGGGTTGCGCAGGCCATCTACGGCCAGTGTTCCCATCCTCCTGGGCCTCCACACACATGGCAGTTAGCAAGGAAGAGCAAAGTTGTTCAACCTTGTCCTAAAGTTATCAATCTGTTCATCCAACCTGTGCCTTGGTCACAGTGGCAACGTGCCGTTAGCAATGCCATCACTGCACTCAGGTCACAAGCTCTGACAGCAGGCACTGGGGATAATTTCAGGTGAGGCCGTTCTTCACATCCAGGCACATGGATGGTGTCTTTTTCCAAATGGACCGTGCTGGTAGGCGGGTAAATCCAATCATGCAGGATCTGCAAAATAAAATTATGTACTACGTACATAGTTCTCCAGAGCGGTGGTGATGTGAGGTGGATCTCCTTTTCTCACAATTTGTTTTAAAACTGGCAATATCAGTAATTGTTCTATCATGGGTTTGAATTAAATCTTGGGTTTAATTAAATCTTGTTCACCGCTGTTGAACGGAATTTGATTCATCCTTGATAATCTGCATCCATTACTCCTCTCATGACATGAGTTTTTTTCCTCCAAAACCCAAGGGAACCTTTTTCTTTCCATGTTTTTGCCAGAAGCTCCAATTGGCACGTGCCCCATTTGCAGACACGTTTAACTCTGTTTCTGCTTTTTGCATGGGCCCTAAGTCTGAGGCCCTTTGAAGAGCCTTTGTTGCTAATTCAAAGGCAACCTGCTGTTTGTTTCCCCCTCCAACTCTTCCTTGTCACTTTGTATATAAACAACAGGGTTAAAATTTGTCCTAGGTATGGAACGTGCTGTCTCCAAAAATCAAACAGCCCAATATACACTGCTGTGCCTCATTCTTATTACAGGGTACTGCCAAGTCTAAAATGTTGTGTTGAGTTTTGGGTAGTATTTCCCAATGCCCAAAATGCCTCTGAATTCCTAAAAATGTCACTTTTTGAATTTCAGTAGGATGAATTTCCCAGCCTTTCTGTTTCATCTGATCCACAACCAATTCCAGCATTTGTTGCACCCCTTCCTCGGTTTGCCTTAGTCAGGACGTCATCTACATAATGAACTGTTTGCATGTGAGGAGGCAGTTTGGTGTCATGCAGATGTTCAGCCACAGTTCTGTGGCAGATGGTTGGGCTGTGCAGCCGTCCCTGAGGCAATCTACAGACAGGATCTTGTCACCTCTGCCACGGGAAGGCGTTCCTCTGCAGTCAGGATCATGAATAAGCTAGCATTAGCTAAATCAATTACAGCATGCTCTGCTCTGGAATGGTTCTGAGCTTCTTCTGTTAAAGCAACACTACCTGCTGCAGCTGCTGTGAGAGGTTGGGTGAGCTTGTTTAATTCCTCCCACAACCCACCGCTTTTTGACAGGCCATGTTGGATTGTTCCGAGCTGTAGTAGCTGACTTAAAACTCCTGCACCCAATAAATCATTAATTGTCCTTTATATCTCTTCATGCTCCCCCCTCCAGGTCCTGTACTGTTTCACTGTCACTACTTCAGTTGCAGCAGGAATCTGCACAGCAGGCATTGTTACTTTTCCCACTGAAATTGTCGGAGCACGAATGCAATTCCTTATTCCAAACTGGGGCTGAGCACTGGGGAGATTCAGTGTTAGTCATTTTAGAATGCCCATCCCTGCGATGTATTCTGGGGCGGGGACAGTCATCACAGGATGCAGCCGTTGTGGGAGGTTTCCTATTCTCATTTCTATTTGTGTTTGTACATTTTCAGTTTGTTTCCCTCCCAACCCTATAATAATTACCAGTTGTCCTTCACGTTTCTTGGGGTTCCCATATGTTAAGGAGGCCTCTGTTCCAGGGTCATTTAAGGCTCTTACAGTTTGCGAGGACCCGTTTTTCTAAAATATTTGGAGCTCCACGAGGGGTTGTTGGTCCTGCACCCGTTGCATTGGAGCTTGGCCATCATTTCATTCTTGTCTTTACGTGGAGCTGCTTCCCTAACCTCCTTCCAAGGATACAAACTGGAACATGGTTCCCAATCCTTCTCCCCCAGAGCAGCTGATCCTCTCGCGTTGGGCCCTGTGAGCAGATGAGAGTCCCATTGAGGCTCTCCAGGGAGCGCAGTAGCTGGAATTGTTCCTGGGCCGTTTGCTTTAGAATGTGGCACTTTCTTGCTAGGTTTTTTAACCCCTCTCAGTTTGTGTATCCTCTGTAATTCAGGAATTGGAAAACCATCCATCTTATTGTGAGGCATCCTGTCTTGCAATAAAGCTGTAAACACTTATTTTCAAGGAATCCTATTTTCACTGCCTTTCTGCTCTTCCCTCTTGTCCATTCTCCCCTGCCATCTCCTGCTTTCCCCTGCCCCATTAGCTGTGCTCCTCTTACCTGTGTCCTTTCTTCTCTTCTGCCCTCTCTGTCCTCCCCTCTCATTCATCACACTTCTGTTCCCCTGGCTTACAATTTCCCTTCAACTTTGTGGTGGGCTGCCAGGGGATTCTGTCAGTGGCCTGGAGCAAGGACAGCACAAGGATAGGGAAAGGAAGGAAACAGGAGAGGGAGAGGGGTGGGCAATAGGGAAAAGTGTAGGGGTAGGGGCAGGATGAGTGATAGGGACAGGGGCAGGAGAGATGGGCAGGAGAGGGAAAAGAGAGGGACAGGCAGTGATAGGAGGATAAAGAAAAGGGTGGGGGTAGGTGTGGAGGTAGTGGTAGGGTCGGGATAGGGACAGGAACACAGGCAAGGTGAGGTGGAGGATCAGGGACAAGACGAGAACAGGAATGGGCTAAACAGAATAGGGGCAGAACAGGGCCTGGTCAGGGCTACATCAGAGGCAGGAGAGGGACTCGAAAGGGGCAGGACTGGAGACAGGCACTGCTGGGACTGCTGACACTTTGTGGTGGTGAGGATGAAGGGATGCCTGCTGCATTTCCTGGCTTGTGAGAAGTAGAAGATCTTGGGGATTTCTCTCTTTTTATTTATTCTCTCTAAACAGCTTATTCATTGCTTTGAATAGTGACTTAGGATAATTAATGTAAACCATAGAATCATAGAATCACCAAGTTTGGAAAAGACCTAAAAGCTCATCCAGTCCAACCGTTCACCTCTTACCAACAGCTCCTACTAAACCATGTCCCTCAGCACAACATCCAGTCTTTAACACCCCCAGGGTCGGTGACTCCACCACCTCCCTGGGCATCCATTCCAGTGCCTGACCACCCTTTCTGAAAAGTAATACTTCCTGATGTCCAGCCTGAATCTCCCCTGCCATAGCATGGAACCATTCCCTCTGCTCCTATTGCTGATGACACGAAAGCAGAGGCCGACCCCCAGCTCACGACAGCCTCCCTTCAGGAAGTTACAGAGAGCAGTGAGGTCTCCCCTGAGCTCCTCTTCTCCAGGCTGAACATTCCCAGCTCCTTCAGCCTCTCCTCATATGGCCTGTGTTCCAGACCCCTCACCAGCTTTGTTGCCCTCCTTTGAACACGTTCCAGGACCTCGATGTCTTTCTTGCAGTGAGGGGCCCAAAACTGGACACAGTACTCGAGGATATTGCCTATAGATCTGGAGGTGGGGAAGCTGCCTCTGGTGCCTGCACAAGGAGCTCTAGCTGCACTGTGCCTGGTTACAGGTCAGCATCGTAGTCTTGGTCTGTCTGACTTGACTGGTGGGAGTGTAAATCATTGAGGGTTGTACGTCGAGCCCTTCCTCTGGACAGTGTGCTGTCACTGGAATGGTACCTATGAAGGCATGACCTGTCCTTAATGCAGATCTCTTCAGCACTGCCTGATGCCTTATACTGGGCTGCCTTGTTCTGGAATCACACGCCAGATCATGCCAGCACTGCCTGGTGGGACTCCTGGGTAACACTGTGGTTAGAAGCTCTGGTTTTGGTGCCTCTGTGTGATGTGAAATTCCCTACCAACCTCTGAAATGCAACTTTTTCCTAAGCCTTATGCTCCTGTCTGCTAAGCTGTGGGTTCTTATCACTGCAGAACGTGGTTCTTGTTTGCTTTTGCAGGTGTTTGTAATTGTTGGTGTATAATGCTCTGATGGCATCACAGACCACCTCCGCCGTGCTCAGGGGCTTTTCTGAGCTGCAGGCCCCACACTGCAGCCCCATGGCACAGCCTCACATCTGGTGTCAG